TCCACAAAAAAAAAAAAAAAAAAAAAAATCTGAGAGGAGAAGAGCCGGCAGATAGCAGGCTTGCCAAGAAATGTGACCACAAAGAAATTCAGGACCATAGTTCCAAGAAAGAAACAGGCTGGGTGAGACTGACCCAGACCAGGCCACAGGGACCAGAGCAGAAGCAGAGAGGGCCCGAGGAGCATTCGTGAAGTGCCCCGAAGAGGCAGCAGAAATGAAGCAGCCCCTGACTTCGGCGCCACAGAACCTATTTCTCATCATTTTTGACCAGCTAAGGAATCTTTCAAGGCTCCTTCTCTGTAACTGTGGGCTACAAAGAGGGCACATGTGTACAGGTCGTCCCTGGAGGAAGGTGACATTGAGCGGGGGCCTCTTGGGTCCCAGATCAAGTACTCACTGCCTTTCTCAGCTCGACGATAGGGAACTGTAAGTGAGATTTCAGGGTCATGAGCGCGGGCTCGGGAGGCCTGCCAACATGTCTCAGGATTCTGCCTCCAGAATTCCTGGAGGAGCCGTGGAACCTTTTATGATTATAAACCTAATTACTTGAAATGAAAAATGTATGGGTCCTTCCAGGACGACTGACCCACTTCTGGGAGCTCACTCTACATTAAGTTCTGATGGGAGTCTTGGTAAAGTCCTATACCCAGACTCTGAAGAGAATCTTGAAAACTCCAGGCTCCATTCTCCAAATCGGGGACAAATGCTACCATTAAGATATTGTAACACTGTTTTCTAAAATCTAACCAAAAAGAAAAGTACAAGGAATTTACAGCTACAGTAAATGGGAAATTTATTCACTAAACCAGAACCCAGGAAATAATAATTTTTTTTGTTTAAATGCATAGCAGCAAAATGAAATTTAAAAGAATCACAGCACTAGGTTTTTTAAGAGAATAAATTTTAAAAATGAAACAAATTAGACACAATACAGAATTTCACTAAGCAAGATGATAGGAATTTAACAATGGTTGTTATATTCCATATTGTTGTCTTCAAATTAGCTGTTCAGAGTCCCAGATATAAGCATGCAAAATTGGTCAATCAATAATAAAAACATAAGCATTGACTGACTTTCAAAAGACCAGTACAAATCAGCAGTACAATTATCCAAGCTATCCTGTAGATAGATAGGCAAATAGACAGACAGACAGACAGACAGACAGACAGACAGACAGACAGATATTTCCCCTTCTTTCTTTTCTCCTTTCCCTCCTCCCAGGTCCCAGTTCTTATCCCTTGAGCAGCTTCTTTCCCTTTCACAGTATCTACTGTACCTTTCAGATTTTATTTACTCTTTCAGGTTTTTAACACTAGGGTGACAATACAATGTTTACACACGTGGGTCCAATTTATTTCACTTACAAGTAGGTTTCTAGTTGCATCCATTTAACGGTGAAAGCCTCCAATTTATCTTTTTTATAGCTGAGCAATACTCCATTGTATAAAAATACCACATCTTCTTTATTCCCCTGCTGACGGGCATTCAGGTTGTTTCTAAGAGTTAGCTATGACAAATTGTGCTGCTCTAAACATGGGTGCACATATGCTGTCGCGGTATGATATGTCCAGCTCTTCTGGAAAGATACCAACGAGGGGAACAGTACTAGGTGGGTCTTTTGTTGTGGGGGTGGTGGTGGGTTTTTTGCTTTTTTGTTTTGTTTTGTTTTTTGGTTGTTGTTGCTTTTTGTTTTTTTGGTTGGTTTTTGTTGTTGTTGTTGTTTTTCTTTGTGTGTGTGTGTGTGTGTGTGTGTGTGTGTGTGTGTTTTGGTTGGTTTTTTTTTTTTTTTTTTTTTTGCAGAACCAGGGATTGAACTCAGGCCCTTGCACTTGCCAGGGAGGCGCTTATTCTACTGAGCCATCTCCTCGGCCCCAGTACTAGGTTTTAGACTAGGTTAACTTTAAAAACATTATTCCTCACTCCTTGGAAATAAAATCATGACGATAGGTAGCCAGTGATATAAAATACTAAAGTCAAGACAATAATCATTCTTTGTTTACAATAAATACTTCAGTTGAATTTCTTCACTACAGTAATAAATCTGGATATACAAAATTATATGTTTGGGTCAATTAAAATAGGAACATAATTTTGTTTGTTTTAAATGTTTCTAATATGGGGCCAAGGAGCTAGCTCAGTGAAATAAGTGCCTGCCTGGCAAGTGCAAGGTCCTGAGTTTGATCCCTGGTACTGAAAGAAAAAAAAAACCTTTCTAATATGGCACCAATTTAACCAGGATCAATATTAAATGAAAAAATATAAAAGCAGTTTTATCCACCTCAAAGCCCTTAGCAGTTGCTAATTATTTGAGTATATTTCATGAGAATAAACCAACAGACTAGAGATGTTAAATGGCATAGGGTAAGATTTCTTATCAGACTTGTCCTTAATTTAAGAAAAAAAAAAAAAAAAGATCAACAGTACTTGGAAATATCTGCATGGTGACTCAGAACAAAGAAAGTTTAAGGGAAATCAGTACAAGCAAAATGACCTCTGTGGCTGCCAGCCCCGGCCGGGACACACCTGTAGAATCTCAATGATCTTCAGCTTGGTGTCCATCACAGTGACGTCCTCGTGCTCGGCGTGGCTCGCCTGCTTGCTGGGGTGGGCGCTGGGCTGCACGTCGGGCACGCTGCTGGCGGGGAACAGGGAGCCGCGGCTGAGCACCATCTGCGTCATCATCTCGCCCACCCCGTGGATGGTTCTCATGACGTTGTTTCCTGTCACCAGAAAGGGTGGCATTAGCTCACACACATCTGGAGACGCGAGGCTGGGGCACTCGCTAGTCACAACCAGACCACTTGCTAGGCAGGCACCCTAGCCCTGAGCTCCGGGCCAGGCCCCCAGGAACTAACAGAATAAAGGAAGGGACAGCATCAGCCCTGGCCTGGCTCACTCTTTGTGGATGGAACTAAGACACTGCAGACCCATTCAAAGGAACAGCTCCACCCCTTTCTGGCTCTCTGTCTCTGTCTGTCTGTCTGTCTGTCTGTCTCTCTCTCTCTCTCTCTCTCTCTCTGTGTCTCTGTCTCTGTGTGCGTATCTTTATCTCTTTCTGTGTCTCTGTCTCTCTTTGTCTATCACTCTGTGTGTGTCTCTGTCTCTCTCTCT